GAGATTAAGAATTCCTCATATCAGTGAGGTCATATGATACATGTCTTTCTCTGATTGACTTATTTCACTCAGCATAACACCCTCCAGGTCCATCCGCGTCGTTGCAAATGGCAAGATCTCATTCCTTTTGATGGCTGCATAATAGTGAATAATCCTTTTAATGTACTGTTGGATCCTATTGATTTGTATCTTGGTGAGAATTTCTGCATCCATGTTCATCAGGGATATTGGTCTATAATGCTCCTTTTTGGTGGGGTCTTTGTCAGGTTTTAGGATCAAGATAATGCTGGCCTCATAGAGTTTGGAAGTTTTCCTTCCATTTCTATTTTTTGAAACAGCTTCAGAAGAATAGGTATTAATTATTCTTTAAATGTTTTATAGAATTCCCCTGGGAAGCCATCTGGCCCTGGACTCTTGTTTGTTGGGAGATTTTTGATTATTGCTTCAATTTCCTTGCTGGTTATGGGTCTGTTCAGGTTTTCTATTTCTTCTTGGTTCAGTTTTGGTAGTTTATACATTTCTAGGAATGCATCCATTTCTTCCAGATTGCCTAATTTGTTGGCATATAGTTGCTTGTAATATGTTCTTATAATTGTTTGTATTTCTTCAGTGTCGGTTATGATCTCTCTTCTTTCATTCATGATTTTATTTACTTGGGTCCTTTCTCTTTTCTTTTTGATAAGTCTGGCCAGGGGTTTATCAATCTTATTAATTCTTTCAAAGAACCAGCTCCTAGTTTTGTTGATCTGTTCTTCTGTTCTTTTGGTTTTTATTTTATTGATTTCTGCTCTAATCTTTATTAATTCTCTTCTCCTGCTGGGTTTAGGTTTTATTTGCTGTTCTTTCTCCAGCTCCTTTAGTTGTAAGGCTAGGTTGTGTATTTGAGACCTTTCTTGTTTCTTGAGAAAGTCTTGTATTACTATATACTTCCCTCTTAGGACTGCCTTTGCTGCATCCCAAAGGTTTTGAACAGTTATGTTTCATTTTCATTTGTTTCCCTGAATTTTTTAAATTCTTCTTTCATTTCCTGGTTGACTGATTCATTCTTTAGTAGGATGCTCTTTAGCCTCTATGAATTTGAGTTCTTTCCAAATTCCCTCTTGTGATTGAGTTCCAGTTTCCAAACATTGTGGTCCAAAATTATGCAGGGAATGATCCCCATCTTTTGGTAACAGTTGAGACCTGATTTGTGACCCAGTATGTGATCTATTCTGGAGAATGTTCCATGTGCACTCGAGAATGTGTATTCTGTTGCTTTTGGATGGAATGTTCTGAATATATCTGTGAAGTCCATCTGGTCCAGTATGTCATTCAAAGCCATTGTTTCCTGGTTGATCTTCTGCTTAGATGATCTGTCCCCTGCAGTGAGTGGAGTGTTAAAGTCCCCTACTATTTTTGTATTATTATCAATGTGTTTCTTTAATTTTGTTATTAATTGCTTTATATAATTGGCTGCTCCCATGTTAGGTACATAAATAGTTACAATTGTTAGATCTTCTTGTTGGATAGACCCTTTAATTTTGATATAGTGTTCTTCCTCATCTCTTATTACAGTCTTTCGTTTAAAATCTAAGTTGTCTGATACAAGGATTGCTACCCCAGCTTTCTTCTGATGTCCATTAGCATGATAAATGGTTTTCCACTTCCTCACTTTCAATCTGCAGGTGTCTTTGGGTCTAAAATGAGTCTCTTGCAGACAGCATATTGATGGGTCTTGCTTTTTTATCCAATCTGATACCCTGTGTCTTTTGATAGGGGCATTTAGCCCATTTACATTCAGAGTAATTATTGAAAGATATTAATTTAGTGCTGTTAAATTACTTGTAAAGTCACTGCTTCTCTATACTGTCTCTGTTCCTTTCTGGTCTATGTTACTTTTGGGCTCTCTCTTTGCTTAAAGGATCCCTTTTAATATTTCTTGCAGGACTGGTTTAGTAGTGATCACAAATTCTTTTAGTTTCTGTTTGTCCTGGAAGCTTTTTATCTCTCCCATTTTGAATGACATCCTAACTGGATAAAGTATTCTTGGTTGCATATTTTTCACATTTAGCACCCTGAATATATGATGCCACTCCTTTCTGGTTTGCCAGGTCTCTGTGGATAGGTCTGCTGCCAGTCTAATGTTTCCACCCTTGTAGGTTAAGGACTTCTTGTCCTGAGCTGCTTTTAGGATTTTCTCTTTGTCTCTGAGATTTGCAAGTTTCAGTATTATATGTTGGGGTGTTGACCTATTTTAATTGATTTTTGAGGGGGTTTCTCTGTGCCTCCGTGAATGCCTGTTTCCTTCCCCAGATTAGGGAAGTTCTCCACTATAATTTGCTCCAATATACCTTCTGCCCCTCCCTTCTTCTGGGATCCCAGTTATTCTAATATTGTTTTGCTTTATGGTATCATTTATCTCTTGAATTCTCCCTTCGTGATCCAGTAGTTGTTTCTCTCTCTTTTTCTCAGCTTCTTTATTCTCCATTATTTTGTCTTCTTTATCACTAATTCTCTCTTCTGCCTCATTTATCCTAGCAGTTAGAGCCTCCATTTTTTATTGCATTTCATTAATAGCCTTTTTAATTTTGACTTGATTAGATTTTAGTTCTTTTATTTATTCAGAAAGGGATTCTCTAGTGTCTTCTATGCTTTTTTCAAGCCCAGCTAGTATCTTTATAATCATTATTCTGAACTCTAGTTCTGACATTTTACTTACGTCCAGACTGATTAGGTCTCTAGCCATCAGTACTGCCCCTTGTTCTCTTTTTTGAGGTGAGTTTTTCTGTCTTGTCATTCTGTCTTGCAGAAAGTGGTCACTTTTCTATTTGTAGTTTTGAAGCAATTCTTTTCTTAGATCTCTAGCTGAGTTCACAGGTGTTCAGAATGGTTGGATAGCTATTTAGCCGAATTCGTAGGACCAGATGAAACTAAGGTCTCCTACTCCTCTGCCATCTTGTCCTCCCCTAATGTCCTTTTAAAGAGTACATGGCATATGTCCAGAGCTATTCTGTAGATTCTACAAATCTTGTTTACCATTGAGAATAACATTAGTGTATAAAGAAACCAAATGCAAACCATGACGTTTTCAGTCCAGAATTCATGCTTTTACTATTCTATACCTCAAATACATCCCTTGGCTAAACCCATTAAATTTTTTTTGTTGCTAGTTGGAGATTCACTCCTTGGGGTTTTTTTGTTGTTGTTGTTGTTGTTGTTTCTTTCTTTCTTTTTTTTAAGATTTTATTTATTTATTCGACAGAGAGAGAGAGAGCACAAGCAGGGGGAGGAGGAGAGGGAGAAGCAGCCTCCTGGGTGAGTAGGGAGCCCAATGCAGGGACCCCGAGACCCTGAGATCATGACCTGAGCCAAAGGCAGACACTTAACCGACTGAGGCACCCAGGCATCCCTCACTCCTTGGTTTCTTAACTTACAACTACTGTCCTCTCAGACTCTGACCCTTCCCAAATTTCTATCAACTGTCATCTAATATTGAGTGTTTAATTTTTGTTATGCTCAATGCAAAGCACTTTAAATACATTCCCTTCTTTAATCGTCATGGCCAATGAGAGACAGATGCCATTACCAATGTTTCACAGAAAAAGAGACTGAGTTTTAAGAAATTAAGTAGCTTGTTTGGGATGGTAATGCATAGATGGAGAAGACCCATGGCTTCCTGCCTCCCAGGCCTGTGTTCTAACCACTCTGTTAGCCCTCCACTAAGGAAGCTCTGTGCTGAAAGGGCACAATGGGCTTTTTTTCCATCAGTGTCATCAGAGTGATGAATCATTCAATGTGAGGGCAGTATCAACCACCCGATCTCACAAAATATCTGAAATGTATATTTCATCAAACATTAGAAACCTCAAGTTCTTACATATTTGGGTGCACTCGTGTCTTGCAACTAGTGACTGAGAGTCATCATTTTTATTGCTTAGTGACTTGGGTATCAGCAGACATCTATGGGATCAGGCTTTCTTTAATTTAAAGAAGTATGAAAAGTTTTATTTACTATGCTTACTTGAATCTATTCCATTCATTTATAATGCGCTGCTTTAGGAAATAATCAAGTTTAAATATGATACTTCATAGGCTTACGGAGTCTAACCAGCTAGCTTGTTGTGTTTATCTATGTTGCATGATAGGTTGTGGCCATGTAACTTACCAGAATGCTGATTCTCGAAGGCCCATCATCATCATCAATGACTTAATGTATTGCCTTTCTTGTGTAACATTGACTGATACATAGTAAATGAATGCGGAAAAAGAAATAATGCAGAAGAATATGAAAAAATCAGTTGCAACTCCTGCTTGGGCAACAAAAGGTAATATCTTCATATTTATACCAGTAATTGACATCAGCTCTTCCATCACTGAATGATTTGTTGTGATCTAAGGGAAAGTATCAATGAACACATTGTTATCATCACACCAATTATAACCTTGTGTGTTCTCTCTCAGTTATAAGAAATTATGTGCATTCCACATTTAAGTATATATGTTCATCATAATCTGGCTCCTTGTGTTCCTGAAACACTCCAAGTTCTGTCCTGACTCCTTAGAACATTCCTATTTACCATCTTCACTAGACAAAATTTTACTCAGGCTTGAAGGCACAACTGAAATGTTGCTTCAGTTACTCATCTTCCCTGATATTTCTCAGAGTATCTTCTGCTTCATTGTTTGCCTTGCACAGCATGTATAATTCCATGATAGAACCTCAACTTTTATTGTGACTTCACGTCCACATTTCTGTCCCATCATTATCCAGGATTGCGGGAGAAAAGTACCTGTGTTCTACTTATTTCTTGATCCTCAGTGCTTAGTGTAATGGCTTACATATGGCAGTTGCTCAGTGTATTGTGCCAAATAAATTAAGTGACTCAATTAATTAAATGCTAAGGTAGGGCAATCCATTGTAGCACCATGCATCAAAATGTAATTTACAATGCAATTAGTTTTCTTTAACTTAATACTCACTTCTATGATAGCGGCATTAATGGCAGCTTGAAAAGCTACAAAGCCTTTCTCCCAGAACATCGAACCTTCACATGTGATTTTTTCATCCATCACTTGACAATGAGCTTTCATAAAAGAAGAACATAACCATTTATGATGGGATGGGACAATCTTGGTATAGGGAAAATCAAAACATCAAATGTTCCAAAATGCAGTACAAGTCCACAATAATACAGTGTATGGTAGGACTTCTCTGGTGAGGTTTGAAGAGCACACCCAAGAAGAATACACCAGAATTGCTTTGTTAATGTTGTTAAGACCAGTTATTAATAATTTTTACTTAATCTATTATTCTCTCAGTTAGCCAAGAATGTTTTTTTGAGCTTTGTTCTTCTGGGGCTTTTGCCAAGAAAGCACTACATTTTTTTAACATTTGGGAATCAATGAGCAAGAATCTTTCCTTCAGGTTATATTTAGGAGTAGCATAGGAATAATAGCAAATATAATTTATTAACGAAGCAATACACTTAAGAACACAGGCTTTATTTAAATAAGAATGAATCTCATTTATGTTCAGGAATTACCCAGCGTATGTTTGTGTGGACTTCAGCGATCACATGCACCCTCTAGTGGCTAATGACATAATAGCAAAACAAAACAAAACAAAACAAAAAACCCTTCTGGTAGGAAAGTTACCTGAATGGTCTCTGTGTTCCTTCATCTTGGGGATTCTCCCTCCCCAGAAAAACTTCAAATGATATGAGAAGGTATCATTAAAGATGACTTTCACTGCATCTATAGAGTAGTTTAAATCCAAATCGTCCATGCTTTTCTCATCCGGCCACCCTATGATTGTTCTTCCTGCCATGTGAAAGAAAGTAGCTAATAAGTAAGAAGAAAGTAGCTAATAAGTAAGAAGATTTCTATGTGGTACAATGACGGCAGGCCATATTCAATTATGTTAAAGTTCTTTATTCACTAAAGGCAGGGCTGGTCCTAAATAAGAGACTCATACTATGGGGGAGTGTCTAACATTCTAGATAAATCAGAGTTAATGTGGCAATCACTTTTATTAGAAACAGATTATGCCTTTCCAAATAAGCTTTTAAACCAATGATTTAAAGCATTGAATTTGGAATAATAGCAATACCACTATTATACCAGCAATACCCCTAGCAATACACAGACCTATCCAAATGTGAACTATATCCTATAATTAAAATATGTACTTTCATGTAACAGTTAGTGTCAATGTGGCCAAACCTCTGAAGACAGCATAAAATTGTTAAATTTGGAGAATGTTTTCTCAAGATATCCAAAAGATATCATGTGAATTAATGACTGTTACTGACCAAACCCGGGCCACTTAAACTACGTAATTCCCTGCAGCCTGGATTCTGATGGATGCATGCTTCTAGTGCAATTTGACATGTTCGTAATCCCTGCATTTCCTGCAGTCTGGCAGCGGCATCCAGAGCCTTAATCAGACTCTGGTCAAATCCCTTTGGCAAGACTACATGTGGTGGTGTTTTCTTTCATCAGAGTTTCTGATGATCTGGTGTTTGGAGATATTATTAGCAGCCATGGACACTCAGTGCCTAGATCCATTAATTCAATGGGAGTTTCAAAATGGTGATATTATATTGCCACCATTTGTTTTCTTATTTATTAGTAGAAAACATTTATAAAACAGTACTTTCCAGCATCTGTTCAATTATCCAGTAGTACAGTTCATACAGGATAAATACTGGGTATCTTCCCTTTATATACAAATTTTCATAAGAAGAACTGATTTTGTACCATCTTCCAAAAGCATTTTTTTTCTTTTAATACATTATGAAAGCCTGGATTTTATGTATACATTAGACGAGTTTCATATCACTACACTTATTATTCTTGTTGAAGCTCAAAGTATGCCAACTTAGACCAGTGGGAGTCTCCTCAAGGTGACTACTGAGTCCCTTTGACAGAACCTATTCATTATCACTGGCTTCCTAACTATCAGGAATGACAACATATTTTTTTTGTACTTTTTTTTTTTATAATTTTTTATTGTTATGTTAATCATCATACCTTACATCATTAGTTTTTGATATAGTGTTCCATGATTCATTGTTTGTGCATAACACTCATGACAACATATTTTTAAACAATTATTTATTTGAGAGAGAGAGAGCTTGAAAGCATGGGGGGAGGGGCAGAGGAGGAGGGAGAGAGAGTCTCAAGCAGACTCTGCACTGAGCACAGAGACTGATGCGGGGCTTGATCCCACAGCCCTGAGTTTTCTATCTGAGCCAAAACCAAGAGTTGGACGCTCAACCGACTGCGCCAACCGGGTGCTCTGACAATATTCTTTACCCTGTCAATTTCTGGTCCCAGACCTCTGCATCTCCTTTCCTCCAGTACTGAGACTCCTGGGTTTCCAAGACACAGAGGTGGGAGAAAAAGACTATTCCATAATTACTTATTTGGTATATCCCACTTTACATATGTAACAGCTTTGGAATAACAGTCTAACACTACCCTACTAGTACAGTAGCCAAAAATGGTTTCTGTTGTTCACAGATTGGCCCACTCTGCTTTGCAATGGGTACTGGCTTCCTCTAAAGGGGTTCTTCTCAGGTCCATCAGATACCCCTTCGCTCTCCCAACACCCCAGAGAGAGATGCCATGTAGACTTGGTGGCTGTTGGTGCTTTTTCTCCATCCATTTATATTGTGGGATTTGGGGAAACACCTTACCGACTAGTTTTGTTGGTAACTATTGCCCATGATTTCTTGGTTTTACTGTCTAATTTCTCTCTCAATTTTTTATATATTTGAAGAGATTTAAAAACCATACTGTCAGCACTGTCCAATATTTCCAGAATCTTCTCACTAACATACATTTGAATAATACCGGCCTGTTTCATTTTGATATGGACTATAATGAAGGTAATAGGAAATCCTAAAATAAATTTGTATGTTTTGCAAATCAGGAAAACACCCAGAACTGCCAGAGAACATACCTTTCATGAATGGGGCTGAAGCCACTTTGTTCATGATCTCCTGGGTTGTTTTGGATTCAGGTGCAAATGCAATCACATAATTAGAATCATTAAAATTATCTACACGTCCCAGATTCATAGCAGGCAATTGAGGGAAGTCATTAACTTGATGTAAATTGGAGGAAAGTCGGTATGCAAATAATACTAGAAGAAATGAGAAAAACCATTCCTACACAGCAATGAGAGAAAAATGAAGCAGATCAATAGCTGCTCATCCACAGATAAATCATCCACGAACAACTTCAAACACGTAGTTTTGTTATGTAGCTTGGACCATTTTTTCCTCTCTCCCAGTTTCCCAGTGTTTCCGTTTTCTTTTGTCTTTTGATTAGCATATTTTGAAATATATGCATCATCCATCGAGAGAGAGTTGTGGCATTGGTACCAATTATAATTGAGAGTCTAAGTTTATCATACTTTAATGTGAGTGTTAGAAGCTAGATTGCTTCAGGAATGGCCCAGTGGTTTACAGTCATGCTCGCACCTGAGTGTCGATGATAGAGAAATGTTAGGTGTCATGAAATTGGTTTCCATCTCTCATCAACAGGAGCAGGGTCCTATTTTTATCTGCTGCTGCTGTATATGAGGAAGAAGATCATCCCAAAATACTGCTCATAAAAAGAATTTTAAAAAATCTTTGTCATTGTGACAACATTCCGAAATTGCAAGTGCAACAGAATGCATTTGAAACCTGGTATTAAGAAGAGACCCTATTACACACTTTCAATTCTAAACACAGTGTCTTTAAAAGAGGTATTTATCTTATTTCCCATCTGATCTCATTTTAGTATGTGTGTTGCTCTATATCTAGACAGATCAATTGACAGATGTGATGCTTATATTAAAAACAGTTAAAAAGGTTGGAAGTAACACATCTATGTAGGGTAGAATCCAACTTTTATATTTATACTTATATAATCTTTACTCCATGCTGGGATTTTTGTATGCTTTATTTACTGTCAATCTAAGAATTCAATACATATTTGTTGAAAGAACACAGACACACACAATGTTCATAAAATGAAATATTAATATACTAACCCTTGAACGATGGGTATTTTATATGTGATTTTAACTTTTTTAATGTATTTTTCTCAATTTACTTAATTTTCTACACAAAGTACATCTGCTCATTCTTATCAGGAGAAACTAAGTACTGACTTAATAGAAGCAAAAATTCAAAATGCCATTTTCTTTTTCTGTTTATATACCCATTATTTTTTTCAAATTGACATTGTAGCCTTAGTACAAGTGTGCAGAAGTGCTATAATTTGTCTTTTGAAGTTTTTTTTTTAATTTTTGATTACTTGCTGGATTAATTCTGGGTTAAGTTTGCTTCTTTCTTTGACTTTGACCCTGAACTTTTGTACCTATTCCTTCCTGAGTTTCTTTTAAAAAAAAAAAAGAAAAAAAGATTTTATTTATTTATTTGACAGAGAGAGACACAGCGTGAGAGAGAACACAAGCAGGGTGAGTGGGGGAGAGAGAAGCAGGCTCCCTGCTGAGCAGGGAGCCTGATGCGGGGCTTGATCCCAGAACCCCAGGATCATGACCTGAGCCAAAGGCAGACACTTAATGACTGAGCCACCCAGGCGCCCCCCTTCATGAGTTTCAAATGAGTTCAGATTTTAAGAATTATTATCTCTGCAATAAAAAGCATGGCTTTATTTTTCAGAGAGCTTCTGAATATCAATTATTTAAAGAATGCCTCTAGTCAGACATATAATAATAGCATATTTAAAGGACTTCCATTTGAAGTTGTAGCAAAGTCCAGAATTCGGAAAATTTTCCAGCCTGTTAGTTAACAATAGAACATATATATGAAACATTAAATAATGAAGATAAACTGTTTGCAGTGTCCCCCCAAAAACATTTTCCTCTTCTAAATATGAGAAGACATAGACTCTGAGCCATACCAACAAGGTCTCTCTCTTCATCCTCCATTTCTTCAGAAAGTTCTTGCAGAGGAGAGCCCACGTTTGCTGGCCCACACTTATGTGCCTCTTGCTCATTCTGACCTGTTTATTTTAAAATAAAGAAGTAAACGAAGTAAATGTGAAGGTCTGAAATAGGAAACATTGTGCAATCAAACCAGAAAGAAACATTGTAACAGCTGTTTCCAATTGCATGTGTAGGAAAAGGAGCCCGAAGGCTAAAAACATATCAAAGGAAGTTCAAGTTAACTAAGAAATCAACTAGTTTAATCCTCATAATAAACCTTTGGGATAGATCCTATTATTCTCCCCATTTAAAAGATGAGGGATATGAGACACATAAAGGCTGAGTGACTCGCCAAACACAGCTAATGGTGGCAGAATCAGAGCTTTAACTTAGATGACCAAGTTCTAGAGACCTCACTCTTAACCACTGTGCCAATGCGGTTTTCGAAATTTGTCTAAGGATTGTGCGGATCAATCCTCCATTTTGTGCAAGATCAGAGATTCTACCAGCATCCAGACAGGGGGTGAGGAGCTCAAGGAGGGATCCACTCAGACTACTTAGCCATGGGCTTTGGTCTGTCCAGTCCTTATCAGGAGACCCCAAATGCTGGAACATACGGAAAGATTGATTACTCTCAAGAGGCAGAGAAAATATATGATCTTTCAAAAGAAACTTTATTACAATAAACAGAAGAAAAATTTTCAAGTCTTCCATTTAATGACTACCATTTTCCTTTGAAAAATCTACCCAAAGGGACAAATACAAAGAACACTGAAGAAATATCTATTTGCAATAAAACTAGAATATGATTTAACCCCAAACCACAGATACTCCCCCACGAAATGTCAAATTATTAAATTTTGCCTCAAGTTAAGGAATAAACACAAAAAAGCTTGACTCTCTTGACCAAAATGTGCATATTAATCGAAGATTGAGAAAATTAACTGAATCTAAAATTATGAAGAAATCCCTGAAAACCACACAATATTCTCTCACTTGAAATGACCTGTAGGGCTAACGGCCATGGCAGAAGCTTGGCATCTGGTTCCACCTCATGGAATATCAGGGAGGTGATGAGAATGTGCATGAATACAATATCGTTGTTTTGTTCAAATCCACAGCTGAGATATAGAAGACTGTGGAATATCTTTAGACCAATGGTAAGAAACAACAGTAATCCAGACAAAATTAAAACCGTATTTCCCATAGCACGGACAAAAAGCAATAGATGCAAGGAGACCCTGATGAACTGAATTCTCAAGAAAGACAAGCCCATGATGGGTGCAAAGAGAGCACCCTTGTAGCTTCCATATTTGGGGCAAGCACTCTGGGTGTGGGCAGAGAGACAAGGTGTATCCACCAGAAAGGGTATTTGCAAAGAAGAGGAAGGAAAAAAAAACAAACCTTAGGTGATGTATGGGTGGGATGCAAGAAGTAGAATCGAAAAGAGTCTAAAATGCCAAGAATAAAAACCAGCCTAACCAATTTTTTCTTCACCCTACAGCCATGTTTGATTTCCTCACAAAAACTGAAAGAGGTGAAAAATGTCCTGAAAAATAGAAAGAACCTTTGAAGTTCTGTGCCTTCTCAAGCTGTCTAGATTCTGAGACCTTGCCAGAGTTGGACCCAGTGGTGTGAAGGTGCTCTTTGTTGGAAAAGTATGAGCAGAAAAATATAGTTGTGATAAGGTCTGTTGGGTAAAGAGGTATGTGTGGTGTCATTACAGACAAATTTGATTCTTGCAAGATCACGGGCCCCATTTTATTGCCAGTAGAAAAGAGCACCTAAAATAATTTTCAGATTCATGATGTCTGTTACTCCTGCATGCATATGAGTGGATAGGTGGGAAGTAGAAATAGGGAGAAAGGGAACGAACTCACGAATCGGGTAAATCCGCATTTGGAGTTCCTTGAGAGCTTGTTTGGAGGTTCTAGCAGGGGAGCGCAGCTACTCGTATACCCTTGACCGGAGAACGGTCCTCTCCTCTATCGGGGAAGGTCGTCCTCTTCGACCGAGCGCGCAGCTTCAGGAGGGACGCACATGGAGTGGTGAGGGAGGAAGGGGACACCCGCCTAGCCAGCCAGATCAGCTGAATCAACCCTGGTGATCAATGGGGTGACAGATATCGCAGCCAGATCGCCCTCACATCCTGGAGTTCCTTGAACTGGAACCTCATTCTAAGAGTATATTATTGGAGGCAATTTAGGCCTGATGATTTTCAGGGACCATGTTGCTCTACTGTTCTCAGTGGAACAGTCATCCATTGCCTCCTACTTATGGGCTCAACCTTGGCCTTGGGGGTAATCCATGTAAGGGCTTAAGCTCACAGGGAGAGAGCGCTAGCCTTTAGGCTTACACAGAGGTCTACCAGTCAGCCAGACTGTCAGTTTCCAATAAGTAGGCCCCGTCATCAGCAACTCTTTATAGAATTGTTTGCAGAGGACATTATATATAGAGAACCTATATAACAACAACAAATCAGGACATAGCTGTCTAACAGCCATCAAATGGTCTCTTTCAAACCTAGTGAAGGTAGCAGATTCCAGATATAACCTTCAGTCTGGTAGTGGTAGCATGATGTAATTATTTATATGGTCATCTTAGTGCAGTCCAAGAATTACTAGTGTATCTCCCAGAATGAGTTCCATAATTGAATTGCAAGAAGTCTATCTCATTATTTTCCCATCAGGAAGAAAAACAAAGTTACTCTGAGACTTGTAAAACATAAATGCCCATGAATTATCTTAGTTGATAAGGAAAACATAAGGTGTAATCTTAATGGACAGAACCCAACATTGTAGGAGGGGACTGGTCCAGGAAATGTTCCAAGCGTAATGGCTTAAGCTTTGGCACAAAGCTTGGAGCACAAGTCAATAAGACCTGGGTTTTGGGGGTCATTGTGTCTTCCTTTGGTGCCATTTTGAAGAGGGTTGCAAACCATAGAATTGCTATTGTCTCTTCCATCATATTACTAATAAGGTTGTTTCTGGCTACTGGATACATGACCTAATGCTGATCTTATCCATGGGGCAAGAGCAAAGCCACAAATATGCTGGTCCCTACTGGTATTCAGGAGGCAACTCAAATGGGAAGGTCACCAACTCAAGGCAGAGATAAAACCTAATCATTGCGTCTTGCAGGGAATATTATGCATCTGCCATTTCAGTCTGAAAAGCAAGGAATAATTGAAGAGGAATAAGGCAGGCAGAAGAATGGTCCCATTCTAAGCCTGGAACTTGTGAATATATTACATTACATGACGAAGGAGAATTAAGGGAACAGATGGGAGTAAGGTTGCTAATCAACCGACTCTAAGTCAGGGAGATAAGCCTGGGTTATCTAGGGGGACCCAAGGTAATCACAAGGGTCCTGAAAAGTGGAAAAGAGAAGTAAAAACGGCAGTCAGTGCAAGGTGCTGTTAAAAGGACTCCACCCGTTGCTGGCTTTGAAGATGGAGGAAGGCGGGCGTGAGCTGAGGAATGCAGGCAGCCTCTGGAAACCGCAGAAGGCAAGAAAACATAATTCTCCCTCGCATCGTCCAGAAATGAATCCAAGGTGCCCTGCCAGCACCTTGATTTTCGTCCAGTGAGACTCACATCACACTTCTCACCTCCTAAACTGTAAGATGATAAATCTGTTTTGTTTTCAGCCATGAAGTTCACGGTCATCTGTTACAGCCGCAACAGAAAATTAACACAAGGAGCACAAAAGAAAGTGTGAAGACAGAATAATTCAAGGACGAGGGCTTTAGGACATACAGAGTTGCCTTTATGAGGTATCCACCTGTGGAACAAAAATTGTCCAGAACTGAACAAAGGGATTCAGAAGCTATGCGGCTGAGCTCCTGATGATAGTGCCATCCGAGCAGGCTGTGACGGCCTGGGGACCCCACCTCAAACAAAACCACGACATTACCAATTAAGAAATCAGTGTCCTGCTAAACCATGGTATCTGAGAGAGTTAAATATGTCGCCTATGTGCCTACTCTCCTTTCTTTCTGCGGAGGAATGCATGTGCTAGAAAGTATTATTGATGACTACAGAAGAATTAACATGATCTGTCACGATTGTGGTTATTTATTTCTGTTAAGACTGATTTTTTTACCCCCACTACACATCCTGATGTAAATATCAGGGGGAAAAATTACTATTCACCAGAGGAGCACAAAACATCTAAGTAGCTCAAATTGCTCTGAATAGGAAGTCGTATGATCTAGAAATAATAATGTGGCTATTAAAAGCCAGTCACTCCCCGCCAGATAGAATTCCTTGTATTCAGAAAATAAACACATTGCACAACAAATTAGATCAAGATTCCTATAGATGTAGTATGATAAATAAGGTCAATAAAAATATTGCCTAAGTTTTCTTGATGAAAATATTCTCGAGCCGGTTAAAACAATTCAAAACTCAGAAAATCATGTGTCTCCCACGCCCCCCCCCCCAGTGCTTACAAATCCTCTAGCAGTAAAAGTGAAAACAAACAAAAAAGAATAACTAATTCTATTCACTTGGGAAACAGCCCATCATACTTGCAAAGAGGCAACATAAAGTTATATTCTTTTCAATTCACCCAATACCCTTTTAGGTAATATATGCTATTTGTCCAAACATACTTTAGTTCTGGGGTGAAAATGAAAAACAAAAACAAAAACAAAAACCCACTTAGTTCTCCAACTGGTTTTTTAGCCATACAGTATAAAATACTCAGATGATTTGGAAAATCAAAACAACTAATAATTTACTGCATTTACTAGTTCCCATCCAAATGTTTGGCATTCCCTATTTGAAGTCATAAATTATAGTTTTATATGCAAAACAACCACAATTTTAGAGATTAACTTACTCTCAGGAAAGCTGGAGCAAGAATCTAGAAACAGTTCATCCACAGGTCTCTGCATGTCCTGGAGAAGAATTCACATTCCTTTTGGGTCACTACTACATCATGCTTTTAATTTCATGTTTATTGTGAATAGTTCCGTTTTAGAATGATTTCCGAAAAGAATTATGGTCTTAATTCAGCCAGGCTGCCAAAAACTCTCGGCTCCTATCACATGGTGACTTCTTTGCTG